TTTGTCACTATCGTCCGGATTGCTTAAAACAAAGGCATTATGACCAATTCTTCTCATGATCACGTAAGGTCCCTCGTACAAATCAAAAAACTTTTGCGTTACCTTATCGAGGGCATTTGACAAATGTCTTACCCTCAACAAGACCTTGTCGCCTAAATCGATCACCAATGTGGATGGTTTCCTACCCTTTTTCCGTTTATCAAAACTACTAATTAAATTCTCCCTTGCTATACGAAGCATTATCGAGCGATCAATGAGAGTTCTATCGGGAAATGCAACCAGCTTCTCAATCTCGTCTTTAATCGAAGTTCCGAAATGCAACTCATTTGGAGTAAACCGCGTACTAAAATGAGTTGTCATATTTAAAAGCGCCTGTATGTTACTCACATGATTGGCCCAATTGGTATGTTTATTGCGACAATATGTGCGAAACAACCTTCCGATTTCGCGCATTACTCTCTCAGACGGATTGCTCTGAGGATGGCGAATCAAACTGTACAAAACTCGAATCCCTTCAGCCTTGAATTTACTCTTCCACGCATGGGCCGTATACTGCGTCCCATTATATTATCAGTTAAAATGCGCTTACTTTCCACGTTCCGGAATGTATTCCTCTAAAATTGGTTTCTAGGATGCGGCAGTCGTTGCTGCTTTCATTGGATATAAGCGTACTAGTTTTGAAAACGCGTCCAAAAGTACAAGGATGTACTGCACTCTCCCTCGAGCGCGGGGAAAGGGACCGAAAAAATCAACCGTCACCAGGTCATTCGGCTCCTCTGATGAGACCCATTGAAGTTCACCTTCCATCGCTCTCGACATATACTTCACGCGCTGGCATAAGTCGCACGACACAACGTATCACTTCACATCTCGGTGCAAAGATCGCCAATAGTAGTAGCCTCTCAAGTACATTTCAGTCTTATAGATTCCTGGGTGACCCAATTTAACGTGTATAGCGACAATCAAATCTCTCACAATCAACTGAGGAATAATTACTCTCCAATTCAAACTATTTTTACTTTTGTGAAAGAGGATATCTTGATGAATCTGATAATCTCACGTCGAAATCAATTGCTAATCAGCGGGCGTCGATTAGGCTCGAGGCTCACTAATCACTAGTCCCGTTTCTATATAATATTCGGCAGCGGCACGCTCCTCTCCCCACTCTACCAACCAACGAGCCGGCGACTCGCTCTCTCGAGTCACACATGTGCGTGCTCTCTCTCTCGCGAACGCTCTTCGCGGCTACTCTCTCGTTCGCTTTTCTTCGGCGGTCGTTGGTCTTCTCCGCCGATTACGTCATCGTCCACGGTTGCCTGAAACCAACGTCGAGCATTAGCAATGGCTATACACAGCCGCTCGACGCTGGCACCGACGGCACGAGCTTGCGAGATAGAGAGAGACAGACAGAAGCGGTCGGCCAAGCCGACGGCCCCGTCACATCTGCTTGAAAACAAATCAAAGAATTTTCCCTTCTGCGTATCATTCAATGTTGACAGATTCTCCACGGCCGAACGCAATTCATCCGATAATTCGCTCTCGTTCACGTCGATTGACTGAGTTTCAAGTTTACTTGTACATTTTATATTATTATTACATCGCCATTAATATTATTTTCACTCATTAACATTATGCGATCAATTTCATCAATATTCTCCTCATTATTTCGATCAATTTCATACTTGTTCAACATCAAGGAATTCTTTACACCTTGTTCTTCACTTTCAAATATTCTACTGTTTTCATCAATTATTACATTTCCATTAATCATATCTAATTTGTTAATCCTAATTAGATAAATAAATGTTTCCCTTTACATAAATAATTAATAATTTGGATAAAAGTCGAATGAGACGCTTTTAAATGCTACCTGAACAATTGAAGGCAACTAAATATTGAGGGCATTCTTCTAATCTTTTTAAATACTCATGAGTTGACCATTTATTCAAGAATTTAGTGGCAAAGGGAAGGATTCGAAATCTCATAGCGAAACTGGATCCATTCCCGAGCAGACACGGGTAGTTCTTACGCTTGAGTAATTACGAGCAAGTAGTTAGTAGTTTAAATTATTTTTGAGGTTGAAGCCAGAGTTTCCTCTTTACATGAGTTGAGCAAAGATTTCGTATAAAGATAGGTAGTGCGTAACATAAAACTCTTCTATACTTTTATTTACATATCGCGTACACAACAGGTACGAGCTCTTCTATCTATAATACTTTGTTCACCATCATACATAATGTATTTGTATGCGCGCTTTGCCGTTACAGTATAATTTAATTAGTTACCTAAATTGAAGGTAGGGTCTCTCTTACAATTTCGAAAAGAATTATCTCAATGTAAAAACCTAAAGTTAATGGTTAGAATGTGAGTTTAGCACTGTGACATATACTTTTAACAAGAACATTTAAAAATCGGAAAAGCGAAACGTTTTACATTTTGCATAAGGTCCTCGTTCAAAACCTGATAAATGTATTGTTATTGCTAATTACGTGGAGTATGTCATTTTCTATGCGTACCGTAAAACAATGACCAAATTTTTGGTCTACTAATTGCAACATACTCTATTTTTTAATGTGATGATCCATCTTTTTAAGATAATGCTACTTGTTTTACTTGAACACTAAGCTTCAAACATTACAAGAACGTTCATCCGGAACCTATTTAAAAATAATTAGTCAGAGCAATTTTGTGAGAGGTTAAATCAAACAACACTTTATGTTTTCAAAATATTCAGTATTCAAGCAAATATCTGAAATTTAAGTCAAATGTTGTCTTTTTATGTTAATTTCCACTATCTCTTTTTGTAATGTATTTGAAACTAGTGCACGAGGTAGTTATTATTGCATTGTAATAACTTTTAAGCATTTTAATATGATTCTTGTCTCAATCTTCTCTATGAAAAATGAATGCATGTTCATCCCTTTTACTTTTTACTTGATTTCACTTTATCATAATTCTGTAACATCCATGCTACATATAATATTATATCTATTTCAATGAAAAGATTTCTTCAATAGTACAATATTTAACTAGTGCGGGAAAGTAGATTCTCGTCTCGTTTGACATTTACGCTCGAGCGTATCGATTATGGAAATACATGAGACGAGAATCTCTTTCCCGCCCATGTTAGGTACAGTATTTTTCAATACAACATGTGAAAAGCTCGATTTTGCGCGCTCTTGGCTGATGGCGTGTTAAAAAATAAAATTGTCAGAAATTTTGAATTTCAAATCTCATCGTTATGGAAATATTACCATTGTCGAAAGTTTACTTTTATTTTAATTTATAATGCAATAATAAGTTATTTTTGCGGTTGAATCAAATTGAGAATGTTATTTTAAAACATGTCAATAACATGAAACAGTTTTAAAATCCATAATTTTTTTATTATTTTAGTATTGATGCTTCACAAGAATCACCGTATCTGGGAAGATTAATAAATCATCACATCGTCGGTAACTTATTGGTAAAAAAAGTAATAGTAGACGATAAACCTCATCTTATTTTCATTGCTTCAAGAAATATAAAACCAGGAGAAGAACTCACATATGATTATAATGAGACACGAAAATCTGTACTCCGTCACAACGATTGGCTTTCTCGAACAAAGAGTAAGTGTATAAGTTTTTTTATTAATTCTACATTCTCTTTGTACCAGTTTTAAAAAAAAATATCTATAGCGAGCTCTATATCACTATTTGACATTGTAGTAAGATGTTAGGGGGAATTTTGCCATTCGATCTAATGTTGATGATGATCCCCGCCTTTAATACGAGCGCAAAACTGTCAACCTCCAAGTCGCGGGTCGGGTTGCAAAATGCAACAATATGTCGTTGATGTCTTCTCTTTCTCGTAAATAATTACCGATGATATCCGGTGGTAGCTCAATCAGTGACCTCTCTCCTCAGGTAGGGATCGGTGGAAGACGCGAAATCGTTGATTGACGACAAATTGCGCTTCGTACGACACTTTAGACTACCGCCTACGAAATTTTAAAAGCGAATTCAAATTTGACCAGGAAAGTGAAAGCTGATGTGGTGGTAATAAAAGAGTACGGTGTGATTCAAACAATAAGGGATTTATTTCTCCAAAAGAAAAAAATACAATAAATAGATATCCGAGAGACTGATGCACGCTTGATTTAAATAACGCTAATAAAACCGGGTTGCAGAGAGATGGGAAAAAAATTCGGCGCAAACTACTAAACGCACGCAACAAAACAAAATCGCAAATCGCAAAGAAAATTATCGGCACTTACTTCTAACTAAGGTAATCAGTCGAGACTATGCCGCGAAACCAGTCTTTTCCAGGTGCGATTGTTGCTACTTCTGTGTGCTGCTACTAATCGTTACTGTAAAATTAGCTACTATTGTTGACTACCAGCTGACGTAATCGAACTCCAAAGAAACCTGTCAAAATTTATGTAAGCGCCCGGCTCGCACAGTAGCTCAATCAAACTAAATCGGCGCGCGAGATGATTGGCTCAGCCCCGGATGCACTCTCTCCCTCTTGATACTAAGCCAGCAGCTTATGCAGCCTAGCTTATGCTACCGAATTTTAACTTCCAGCGAATTTAATTTGCTCGTTGCAACTTTTATTATCATTCATACACAAGTGAACCTATAGATGAGGTAGCATCATAATATATGTTGCTAATTAGCTAATATATGGGCGTTTGATAGATTACCGTCATATATTAAATAGAGAAAAGCGAAAATCAGACTGAATAATACACAATTATAATATTTTTATACTTTATTCTAAAAATAGTTATAATAGTAATATGCTAATCAATTATTCGAATAAGTTTAATAAAGTAATATTCGTAAATATTCTGAAAGATATTATAGCATTATATTTATTTTATTTTAGAAAAAGAAAACACCCGTCTTGATATTGAAAAAAAGAAAAATTACTTGGAGGAAAATGATTTATCATTCGTCACAAATACCACCTCTAGCCCTTCCATTACAAACAGTTTTGATATACCATACCAAGCAATGATTCCTGATAATGTACCATCGGTGTTTAGACGTAAGCTATAATTCTCATTATAAATCAGAAACTAGCTTTTTTTTAATTATATCTTGAATAGCGTACTGTTTAATGGTTAAAAATAATAATATTATTACAGAAATGGATGAAAGTTCACTTGAATTAGAAAACTGTTCCCTAAATGGTCCTATAACAGCGTTAAATTCAACAGTTATGGAAGGTGGTAAGATCATATTTCATTTAATTTTTATTAAAAAATTGTTATAACTTCGCTATACAGGGTTTTATTTTATTTAGTGTTGGTGAATTCAGCGTTGTGTTATTGTCGTTTTATTACTTACTTGGATAACATATATGTTCAATTCGTTAATTACTGTTTTTTGTAGCCTGATAAGGGAGACAATTTAATAAAGTCTTCGAAACGTTGCAACAATAAATTGAAAGTTTTTCACCCGTAGTGAATGCTCTGAAATTTCTTATTAAATTGATTTACATATTGTTCGAGTATTAGAATTTCAATAAAGAGCGGAAAAGTTTACGTTTAAAATAATATATTGGGAGTTTTTTTCTGACCTCGACAAGGTTGATTGAAAGTCAATGCTCAAAAACCGTGCGGTAACTGTTCATCTTAGTTTTCTGACAGTCTAAACGTTTTGAAGGTACATTTATGAGAAAGATCGATTTGAAATATGACAATGACCTTATAAATGATGATATTGAAGTCACTTTCAAGATTATTGAAATAAGAGTTGTTTCTTGAATCGGAACATTTAATTTTGTGAATTTAGGGTTTGAGTATTTAGAAATTATAAGCTTGAGGCAGTAAGCTTTGAACTAGAAAAATGAGATCTTCAAATGTATTTGAATGTTGATTTGAAGATCAAAGTCATTGATACATATTAACGCTTTATATTTTCTTTATTTTTTAGAGCCGATGTTAAAATAATACATTCCGATTCAAGAAATAACTCTTATTTCAGTGACCTTGAAAATAATCTAAAGAATAGAATTTATAAGGTCATTGTCACATTTCAAATTGATCTTTCGTATAAATGTAGTTTTAAAACGTTGATATTATCAGAAAACTCAGATGAACAGCTACCGCACGTTTTTTGAGCATTGTCTTATAATCGACTTTGTCGAGGTCAGAAAAAAACTCCAATATATTATTTTGCCTATTACTTTTCCACTCTTTCCATATCCGATGTAGAAAGTGTAGCTTCTTATTAAAAAAACAATTGACCTTGAGAAAACCTTAAAGGTTGAGCTCAAGGTAATTTTTAAGATCATCATTAGATGTCTACCCTTAAACCTAACAGCTTTGGTCTAAAATTTATTTTCTAGAAAAGTCAAATCTAGAATTTATTCTCGTGGACTGAATAAAATAAAATACCCTGTGTCAGATACTTTTGAAATCTAATTTTAACGTTTATTATTGAATGAACTATACAGAGTGTCCAAACAATACCCAAACAATTGTCCAGACAAAGTCATTGTCACCAAGAATTCATTGGTGACCTTAAATATATCCTTGAGCATGACCTCCAAGGTTCTTTCAAGGTTAGCTTTGTCCTTTCAAATGGAACCCTATTTTTGACAACGGTATTCGAAAGAGCGGGAAATTTTACGTCCAGAAATGTGTTCGGATCATAAGTCATCGATAAACCAATAACTCGATAACCTAATAACTTTGACCCTCTGTCGGTTGAGTATAGTCTTGTATAGTTTCAGACCTTTGCTGGAAATAATGAAGTTGACCTGAGTACATTTTTGAACGTAAAATTTTCCTCTCTTTCGAATGCCATTACAGATCATACTCAAGGTCACATTTAACGTCACCAATGGATTCCCGGTAAAAAGTTGCTTCAAGTATAACCTTGATCATTTTGGAAAGTTACTTTGTCTGGACAATTTTTTGAGTATTTTGTTACTTTTTGGAGACCCTGTATAATAAAAGTTATGAATTTGTATTCATTTTTTTAATAGAACGTCTTGAACATTCTGAAACGTAGCTGCGTTCCATTTCGTTTCCTTATTCTTAAAGGAAAGTGGGCATGTAGGAACATATGCATTTTCGATTGGGTTTACGGATACAAAGTGGAACATAGCCCATGGTAACTTTCACTTCAAACTTACAATTAAATTTAATCGTTCACATGGAAACGTCTGTTCTTATCTATTGAAAATTAGAATGTTTTTTATTTTCTGCTCAAATACTGTGAAATAGTTGTTATTACCATTATTTTAGTGAAAAAATTTAATCTTATATTTTATTATTAAAATGAATTGTATACAATTTTTTATTGTTAGAATTGTAATAGTATATTTTTCAGTAAATAATGTTTATGAAATTATACCATAAACGTTATCAGAATTGTTCTTATAATCTTTGATTTATTATAAATCTAATATTATTAAGCTAGAAAATATGATTTAAATAGTATAACATTTGTTGAGAAATGAAAATGTTAATCCATTCTTTTAGTATTTTCAATATATTGAGCAATTAATAACCAAATATTCTTGGATCCAATTACAGCTCTACTATTTCATGATTATTGCTCAAAGGTTCTGCCTTCAGAAACTGATGCTCCAGATAAGGAAAATATGAATGTTATGGTTAAGTCAACCAATCAGGAGACACCATCAAGAAAGTGTAAGCGCAAAAGTTTATAATATTATTCATATAGATTAAGAACTTATTTCCAAACATTTAAAATAAATATTGATTTATATGGTGTTAGTAAGTTTTAATAAAAAAATCTCTCTAAAATAAGTAAAATAGGTTTTAAAGCATGAAAATTTCTAAAAAAATAGAATATCAATCATCTTGCAAACATGAACAGCGTATTCTTCCCATGGGCAGACTTGTTCTCGACTTAATTGGTTAAACCATTAATTAATATTATCAAGAAAACTAGATGAGTTACTTATACTTCTTTACACAAGGGTTACAAATATTTTCGTATACAATACGAGTTCTGAGCTGATTTGTAACTCATTTTTGTATTTCTTGAAAATCGATATCATTTCTTCTTTCTTTGTTAGAATTAAAGATCTTTTTTAATAATTTTCTTAGGGATAAACCAAGGTACGTTAGCGAGGATCTCGAGGGTCTCAAATTGGAATCGATACTAGTCTGAAAATTGATCGGTACACAAGAAGTTTATTTTCAAGAATAAGTTGAGATTTTCTCGAATCAATTAATACATTTTTCTAAGTTTAAGATTTAGCTGTTTTTGTTGTCTTAATAATCCCTTTAATTTAGAATACGATGCATTCCTCGATATTCTGATTGGTTACTTTGAGCAATATTTTTACCGTCCATAAAGAGACCAGCGGAATGGTTTTTTTTAAATGTGATCGTTACGTTATTACATTTGTTCTCTCTCATTCGCTCTTATTTTTCAGTTTTTAGCCAAATTTGAATCTTAATGAAATATCTGTATAGTAAAGAAGGTTTCATTGCATTCTTCTTCTGTGGTCAACCGTGCTGAATTGTCTGCATATGTTCTTGTTGTGATATTTCACCTCACTTGAATATTGACTGTGTAGACTTGTATATAAAATGGGATACAGGCCACTTCCTTGTGGAATACCTTCCTTGATTGAGAATTTATTTGTAATGTAATCAACGACTTAAATTCTGAAGTTAATGTTAGTTACGTACGATTCTGATAGCAGTGCCTCCATGAGCTTCATTGCCAAGATTATCAGACTGATAACCAATATAATTTAAGTTTTTAAAATAATGCTTACTTCTAAAAAGAGGTTTTTATGATCACATCTATTTCTTTACGAGTGAGATAATTTTCAATTTCTAGTTTTCATTGACTCAATCCGTTAGCACTTGAAATAGCTATTTTGAATTTATCATTTATTTTGGTATTTTGTTAATCAGAGCTCTCAATAGAATCAACATCGTCTCCATTTCATCCATGAGATTTTCAATCATTATTTCTAGCTTATTGTCACGATTTACTTCATTTGGTACTAGTTGGTAAGCAGTACCGGTTATTAAATTTGAATAGAATCTGTTTGTTTATCTGCCGCACCTTGAGCGTATATAAAATTAGAATTTACTGCTTAGCTTGTTAATTCTATTACTAGCTACGATTTACATCGCTCCCTGACTGTCGCTCGGTAGTGTGCATTGTTTATTTGACACTTGATTGGATTTATATTCTTTCTACAGTATTGAATAGCTTGTTTATCTTTAATATTTTTAAGTTGTTGTTGCGAATAACCAGTTGCATTGTGAAAAGTGGCGTTGGGCATTTATAATATTCTATGAATATTAGTATGATAAGTATAGCTATTATTACCTATACTATTAAGTAATTCTTAGAAAGGTCTGATATTTTCCACTTTCTCTACATAAATCGATGGAGATTTGAATGTCTAAACTATGTCCTCTTCATTTTGACATCTTTCTCTTTCTTTAATCTCTCAACAGTTCAAATTGGTAGACAGTTACAGTTGGTGTGGCGTCTGTACGTAAAACGTTTGGGCTTTTGATTACTATTTATGAACTATGCCTCAGCCGTTTACCACCTACCTCTTACCAGCTTTTTTTTCATTTTTTGATGGCATGAGATCCATTTGTATGTCATTTCGGCTTGGATTTTAATTTCACTTCTGAATTTGCTTGTGCTTAGTTACACATAAATACTGAATGAAAGATGATACGATTAGCGCGACAACTACTACCAATATTAACTTGTGTATCACTTTCAATTTCTGTATTAGTTTCTCGTACTTAGGCATATATAACTACGTCCACTCAGTATGAAATTTTACTAAAGGTTCATTATTTAATAATTAATGATATTTCTTTGTAATTAAAAATCAAACCCGCCAAGATAATGTTTAAAGCTTGACTTTTTCTAGTGACTAATATTTTAATGGTAATAGAGAAAAATCATATCAATTCCTGCTATACATGCATCATTTTTAAAAAAATTTTATTTTTTGACATTTGACACTTTACTTAAATACAAATAGTCATATGATTATATAAAAAATTTTAATAATTTCCATTTAGATGACGGCATAACAAACAAAATTAAGAAGAGGTTGTATACTTCAAATAGTTTAGTATCATTAGAAGAAAATACTTGCAATGTTGGAAACGATGCTGTAAATTCTGAAAAAAATAATGATTCACCAGAAGAAGCAATCAAAAACCGGCCATTTAAGCGAAGAAAAATTGAGAGTGATGACGAAGATGGCGATGGTAATAAATACAATCCATAAGTATTTTATGATTTATTTTCGCTTCTAGATAATTATAATTCGACATTCATTTTTTTAGATCCAAGAGATAGATCATACGAGCCTTCAGGTATTATCAATTAATTGTTTTCAAATGACACGTTATTACTGTATATATATATATATATCTTTTTATTCATTAGAACATGATGAAAGTGACATGGAAGATTATGAAGAAAACGATGACAATAACATAGAGAACGTCGTACCAAATTCAAAGTCACAATCGCCACTAGATTCAGCTTGTAAATCATCCACTCGAAAAGGTAATTGAAAGATTTTTTTGTTTATGTTTCTCAACTTCATTAGAAATATCTGAATTATAAAATAAGTCATTAGTTGAACAATAGATCAACATATTATGAAAACTGACATTAGTAAAAAAAGCGAATAAATTCTTAGTCTACATATGTAGGGTATCCAAAAAATATGGATACTCCCAGAAACTTTCCAAGTCAAATATTTTTCTCAACAGTAAATTCTTTTTCTAACTTTTTACGAGAAATCCATTGGTTTCTTTAAATTTGACCTTCCACGTGACCTCCGAGTTTATTTCAAAGTTAAATTTCATTTTTAAAGAGATATCTATTTCTTGACAACAGTAGTCGAAAGAACGGGAATCACCTTAACATTTTTTAAAAAATATTTCATTTGGTATATTTTTGGGGAATTTACTTAACTTATAATTTCATTTATAATATTCAATTCAGTGTTCTCATAATCCATTCATCATTTACATTGTTAGTATCACTATAAATTTCCATTGTTATAATATCTATTATTATTATTAAACAATCATATAATTTTTAGTGATAGATTTAAATTTATCTAAAATCTTGAAGCGACGAAGCCTAACAAACAAATCTAAAGAATTGAATGAAATTAAAAAAAGTTCAGGGACTTATACATGTCCCTTCTGCCATAAGAATTTTGTTAAATTGCCACCACATCTTGAGGCCATGCATTCTGATGAACCCGAAGTAAAAGAATTTATCGGTATGAAACCAAAGTCACTTGAACGTTTTTGGTTATTGAAAATGTTACTAAACAGAGGACGCGATTATCGAAACGAAATCTCTGATAATTTAGAGGTTTGTAGAATTCCTTTGGCAGGTAAAAGACAGCCTAAAAAAGTGATTGAAGATAACGCGAAACTGCAAGAGCAAAATAAAAATGGAGATGAAAATAAAGTTATAGTAAATAACACGGCAAATGAAAAAGAAGTCGTTAAAAAAGAAGTTAAGCCGAGTGATTATGCAAAATGCCCCAATTGTCACGGCTCATATATTCGTAAAAGATTAGCTACACATGTTAAAAAGTGTATTAATCAAGACAAACTCAAAGGAAATGTTAATTTGAAAACTTATATTAAAGGATCGAATCTGAAAATTCATGTTTGTGCTACCGAAGAGACTGCCAAATTGATGTGTGCTTTGAGATCAGATTCTATAGGAGATGTACTTTTGAAAGACCGTTTAATCATCTTATATGTAAATATGCGTTTAAAAAAGTACGAAAATGCTATTAGGAAACGTTCCATGTTAACACAAATACGACAAGAGGCTCGATTAATTGGACGTATGACAGAAGAGTTACTTCTTTTATGTGACGATATTCAGGAGTTAGGAGACGCATTTACCTTAAATACTTCAGCAAAATATGAAGCAGCAATAGAGGCAGTAGCAGGCAAAGCAACTACTGGTATCTACCAGCACCCTTCAAATGCAACACAACTTGCCAGTTTTACTGATGATTTAATAAAATTACAATTAGATTATTTGAACGAACAACTTGAATTAAACGAAAGTAATCTAGAAATCGTAAGAAGTCTTGAAAAGAAAAAAAATAAATGCATTTCATTTCAAAATAGATTTGAAGTAGATATAAGAAGTTCCTTAACGAAAAAAGCTTCACAGTCTACAGTGAGGCATGTAGCTGACAAAGAAGTGTTAGAAACTAGTTCGGAAGATGTAACAAGGTTTTATACGTATGCTCTAAAGATGAGAAAAGAAGCTCGGGAGTCTTTAGAAAAGGACGGCTTTACGAAAAAAGCTTGGGAACAGCTTGGCGAAAGCCAGCTATTAATTTCGCTCATTTTTAATCGCAAGCGTGTCGGCGACATGGCGTATTTTGAAACACGCTACTATAACAAAAAAAAAAGTATTGTAGAAACCATGCCAGAAGTTTATAATAAACTAGATAATGAAAGTCAGTTATTGGGCAAAACATATAAGCACGTATATACACTAGCAAAGCGATCTCGTATAGTTTCACTACTACTTTCATCAGAAGATGAAGAGTGCTACGAATTATTTTACTCATTTAGAAATATTGCTGGAGTTCCTAAAGAAAATCCGTATGTTTTCGGTTTACCTAGTTCAAATTTAGTTGAGGAGTTTAAAGTTCCCGAACCCTGTGGAATAATACGCAGATATTCTGAGCAATGCGGAGCAGAGCATCCGGAAAGTCTTCGAGGAACTGCGATGCGTAAACACATAGCAACGTTATGTGCTTTATTAAATTTATCAGAACGCGATTACGAAGAACTAGCTAATTTCTTGGGTCACCGCTTAGACATCCATAAGCAGGTATACCGACAGCCACAGATCGTTCACGTCGTTACTCAAATTTCCAAATTATTGGAAATGGGTATGACAGAAAACGAAGGTAACTAATTCTTGATGACACTAAATTTACTATCGAAGATTGATAACTTACATTGTTGCTTTTGTTTTACTTTTGAAGCATCTTTTGTTTCATTTTACGAGAAATCATATAAATAAAATATAAAAACTTTATATATTAAATTTTCAGATGCAACCAATAGTTTAAAAATATCTGCAAAATCACAGTTAGATTTGACTACCGACAAAGAAGTTGAACAAATAATAAAAAACATTGAGAAAACTAAAATCAATTCAGTAACAAAAGTTACTTGTGATAATTCTTCCACGTTAGATTCTGCACTTGAAATATCATTACCAGTTGTCCGTCAGTCTTCAAAATCTTCAGGATCTGGTAAAACTAAACGTAAGACCGTCATACTTTTTAAATATTTATATTCCATATAAATTAGTTAATGTACGACTTTGTATTCTTGTATTAGTTTGGAATCTAAATATATTACTCATTGTTAATTTCCCTAACGGAAGTAAATTTTGCAATCTATTATTTTGTTAATGATAAGAAAGATTTTTTATCATATGAATCATCTGATTCTACTAAAATTTTTGAATTTATTAAGATACTATTAAATCTTCTTAAGTGAAGGGATTTTATTAACAGTGTTTCATTGTACTATTTCAGAATTAAGTAAACGTAGGTGGCAAAAGGAAGAACTTGAAATCATACAAAATTATTTTAGAAATGAAATAATAGATAGCAAATTGAAGATATGTGGCTCGAAAATTTCAAAAATGCTCCGCGAAAATCAGCAAATATTTTTCAACCGAGATGTTGCTTCAACGCGAACATGTATCCATTCGTTAAGAAAACAGATATCTACAGAAGAATGTGTAAACAATAATTCAAGTTCAAAGAGAAACATGGTACCATCTAAAATTTATGAAACGTTTGAGCACCACATAAAAAAAAAAACTATACCTACCGAAAAAGACTGTCTGAAAGCAATGGAGTCGTCCTTTTACAGAGATTATTCAGTTCGACGTATTCAAAAATGTGTGAAAGAGGCACATAAAATGTCCTCTACTGACTAATATTACTATTTTTATTTTATAATATTTATTTTATTATTGATTTTGTTTATATAGTTTAAGTTGACATATAACAGATTGTATTCAACTGAGAGAATCAAAACATAATGTAAAACTCTATAACATTTATTTTATGTACATTAAAAATGTACTTTTTCGCTTTTTCAAAGATTTTAACTAATCATATAACATAAATTATTATTTATTATTCTAATTGAAAAGATCTAAAAATGTGTAAGAAACACACTTGTAAAATCCTCATACTGACTGAGGCGATAATTTGTACGTTAATTATTTACGTTTAAAATGTACTTTTATTTAGTTTTTCAAAGAGATATGTGAAATATGATTATCACGCAGATGTTATTAGACTTTAAATTTTCTACGTTTTTATGATATAATAAATATTAACACATTCTTATAACGCAAATTGTGTTTCTCTATTTGTGAGTATTTATAAATAAACTAAAACAAGATTGTCTCTTTCTCTCTTCCTCAACTTACATAATCCTCCGCGGCGCAGAAGTACTCCTTACAAGAACATACAGAAATACAATAATTATAAAAAATATATTTATGCAATGAAAGCTAAAGACATATAACGAGGATCATTCCCGTTCGTTATAACACGTGAAATATAAATAAAAATATAAACTTCTTAACCATTTATTCCTCGGTTAATTGAATATATGTAATCTCCACGACCAAATATACTTAAAAATACAAGAAAAGTCAATTTCAATAAGTACCTTTGAATCGATCTGTAATTATACTACAATAGTATATATATATGTCACTCATTTTATAAACTAACACGAAAATTATAGAAGTTATTTTTCTACCACTACCAAAAAACAGATATCAATAGATGTCTTGAATTATCATTAATTTTCAACTAATCATTTACATTTTATTGCGTGATCCGATATCTATTTCTTATAAACTTCTCGAAGTCAATATGCCATTGTTCTTACAGCCTCCCATCAGAGCGGTATAACCTCATCGGTAACACTCATACAGAAGAAACTAAAACTGAAGAGAAGTTCAGAAAAAGAACTACTAGCAAAAGATCTTGTTGTCTTATGCTCCATATTGCTGGACACAAGTCAAAATATTTGAACAACGCTTATGCCTTGCTATTCACCACAATACTTATACAACTTTAGGCTCATTTGATCGCGTTTGATACATGTATTTTCGAGTTAACGAACATCACGCTTTTCCATAACACTCATACTTTATTAATTCTACGAAAATAGCTTCAGCACAATAAAGGTAAATAATAAAAACGGCACTTGACAATGTGTCGTAGGAAACGACTCTAGCCAGATATATATTTAAAAAACTAGTATAGCTTGAAAATAGGGAATGGAAAATTTCATATTCAATATGAGAGTCTCGCTGAAGTTAACTAAGCACTCTGCCAAATTCGAAGCGTGTTGAAGAAATGGCGTTTGGATCCGATTCGTCTGAAACGACTCTAACCCCGATATATATTTCCGTAAATTATACCAGTTCAGGTTAGAATAAGGAAAAACTTACAGTCTATCATATATCTAGAACTCACCGATGTTCAGCTAGCTATAGCTAAAGGTAAAAATTGTCTGTCATTCACAAATCATAGTCGGTATTATTGTGGATATTTTGAGTATTTGTACGGGTCAGCAATGTAAGCTGTACGGAGTAAGTCGCCTGAAACGACTCTGGCTATACATATATTGTTTATTTCTTACATAACTTTAGTTTTAAAATAGCGGGTAATTTTTCCAGTTACAAATGTTTGAAAAGATAAAGTTCAGTGAGATATGGTTATCGGTACATTATATCTGTGACGATTATGGAATATCTCCTGGTTAATGGTCAAGAAATTGAGTGTTTGTACATGTAAGGATGGGAAACCACTTTTTTGCGTAGTCAGCAACGCGTTTTTGATGGCGTATGTTCTCTCCAACTACTAATGAAAATTATGATCGATAAGAAAACCCACCATATTAATAGCTGTATATAGAATCAATACAAAACACGCCATGTTGGTACGAATGGAAATCACTTCTTGCAAACACGAGAGTCTCGCTGAAGTTAATTAAGCACTCTGCCAAATTCGAAGCGTGTTGAAGAAATGGCGTTTGAATCCGATTCGTCTGAAACGACTCTAACCCCGATATATATTTCCGTAAATTATACCAGTTCAGGTTAGAATAAGAAAAAACTTCCAGTCTATCATATATCTAGAACTCACCGATGTTCAGCTAGCTATAGCTAAAGGTAAAAATTGTCTGTCATTCACAAATCATAGTCCGTATCATTGTGGATATTTTGAGTATTTGTACGGGTCAGCAATGTAAGCTGTACGGAGTAAGTCGCCTGAAACGGCTCTGGCTAGACATATAATGTTTATTTCTTACATAACTTTAGTTTTAAAATAGCGGGTAATTTTTCCAGTTACAAATGTTTGAAAAGATAAAGTTCAGTGAGATATGGTTATCGGTACATTATATCTGTGACGATTATGGAATATCTCCTGGTTAATGGTCAAGAAATTGAGTGTTTGTACATGTAAGGATGGGAAACCACTTTTTTGCGTAGTCAGCAACGCGTTTTTGATGGCGTATGTTCTCTCCAACTACTAATGAAAATTATGATCGATAAGAAAACCCACCATATTAATAGCTGTATATAGAATCAATACAAAACACGCCATGTTGGTGCGAATGGAAATCACTTCTTGCAAACACGAGAGTCTCGCTGAAGTTAATTAAGCACTCTGCCAAATTCGAAGCGTGTTGAAGAAATGGCGTTTGAATCCGATTCGTCTGAAATGACTCTAACCCCGATATAAATTTCCGTAAATTATACCAGTTCAGGTTAGAATAAGAAAAAACTTCCAGTCTATCATATATCTAGAACTCACCGATGTTCAGCTAGCTATAGCTAAAGGTAAAAATTGTCTGTCATTCACAAATCATAGTCCGTATCATTGTGGATATTTTGAGTATTTGTACGGGTCAGCAATGTAAGCTGTACGGAGTAAGTCGCCTGAAACGACTCTGGCTATACATATATTGTTTATTTCTTACATAACTTTAGTTTTAAAATAGCGGGTAATTTTTCCAGTTACAAATGTTTGAAAAGATAAAGTTCAGTGAGATATGGTTATCGGTACATTATATCTGTGACGATTATGGAATATCTCCTGGTTAATGGTCAAGAAATTGAGTGTTTGTACATGTAAGGATGGGAAACCACTTTTTTGCGTAGTCAGCAACGCGTTTTTGATGGCGTATGTTCTCTCCAACTACTAATGAAAATTATGATCGATAAGAAAACCCACCATATTAATAGCTGTATATAGAATCAATACAAAACACGCCATGTTGGTACGAATGGAAATCACTTCTTGCAAACACGAGAGTCTCGCTGAAGTTAATTAAGCACTCTGCCAAATTCGAAGCGTGTTGAAGAAATGGCGTTTGAATCCGATTCGTCTGAAACGACTCTAACCCCGATATATATTTCCGTAAATTATACCAGTTCAGGTTAGAATAAGAAAAAACTTCCAGTCTATCATATATCTAGAACTCACCGATGTTCAGCTAGCTATAGCTAAAGGTAAAAATTGTCTGTCATTCACAAATCATAGTCCGTATCATTGTGGATATTTTGAGTATTTGTACGGGTCAGCAATGTAAGCTGTACGGAGTAAGTCGCCTGAAACGGCTCTGGCTAGACATATAATGTTTATTTCTTACATAACTTTAGTTTTAAAATAGCGGGTAATTTTTCCAGTTACAAATGTTTGAAAAGATAAAGTTCAGTGAGATATGGTTATCGGTACATTATATCTGTGACGATTATGGAATATCTCCTGGTTAATGGTCAAGAAATTGAGTGTTTGTACATGTAAGGATGGGAAACCACTTTTTTGCGTAGTCAGCAACGCGTTTTTGATGGCGTATGTTCTCTCCAACTACTAATGAAAATTATGATCGATAAGAAAACCCACCATATTAATAGCTGTATATAGAATCAATACAAAACACGCCATGTTGGTGCGAATGGAAATCACTTCTTGCAAACACGAGAGTCTCGCTGAAGTTAATTAAGCACTCTGCCAAATTCGAAGCGTGTTGAAGAAATGGCGTTTGAATCCGATTCGTCTGAAATGACTCTAACCCCGATATAAATTTCCGTAAATTATACCAGTTCAGGTTAGAATAAGAAAAAACTTCCAGTCTATCATATATCTAGAACTCACCGATGTTCAGCTAGCTATAGCTAAAGGTAAAAATTGTCTGTCATTCACAAATCATAGTCCGTATCATTGTGGATATTTTGAGTATTTGTACGGGTCAGCAATGTAAGCTGTACGGAGTAAGTCGCCTGAAACGACTCTGGCTATACATATATTGTTTATTTCTTACATAACTTTAGTTTTAAAATAGCGGGTAATTTTTCCAGTTACAAATGTTTGAAAAGATAAAGTTCAGTGAGATATGGTTATCGGTACATTATATCTGTGACGATTATGGAATATCTCCTGGTTAATGGTCAAGAAATTGAGTGTTTGTACATGTAAGGATGGGAAACCACTTTTTTGCGTAGTCAGCAACGCGTTTTTGATGGCGTATGTTCTCTCCAACTACTAATGAAAATTATGATCGATAAGAAAACCCACCATATTAATAGCTGTATATAGAATCAATACAAAACACGCCATGTTGGTACGAATGGAAATCACTTCTTGCAAACACGAGAGTCTCGCTGAAGTTAATTAAGCACTCTGCCAAATTCGAAGCGTGTTGAAGAAATGGCGTTTGAATCCGATTCGTCTGAAATGACTCTAACCCCGATATAAATTTCCGTAAATTATACCAGTTCAGGTTAGAATAAGAAAAAACTTCCAGTCTATCATATATCTAGAACTCACCGATGTTCAGCTAGCTATAGCTAAAGGTAAAAATTGTCTGTCATTCACAAATCATAGTCCGTATCATTGTGGATATTTTGAGTATTTGTACGGGTCAGCAATGTAAGCTGTACGGAGTAAGTCGCCTGAAACGGCTCTGGCTAGACATATAATGTTTATTTCTTACATAACTTTAGTTTTAAAATAGCGGGTAATTTTTCCAGTTACAAATGTTTGAAAAGATAAAGTTCAGTGAGATATGGTTATCGGTACATTATATCTGTGACGATTATGGAATATCTCCTGGTTAATGGTCAAGAAATTGAGTGTTTGTACATGTAAGGATGGGAAACCACTTTTTTGCGTAGTCAGCAACGCGTTTTTGATGGCGTATGTTCTCTCCAACTACTAATGAAAATTATGATCGATAAGAAAACCCACCATATTAATAGCTGTATATAGAATCAATACAAAACACGCCATGTTGGTGCGAATGGAAATCACTTCTTGCAAACACGAAAGTCTCGCTGAAGTTAATTAAGCACTCTGCCAAATTCGAAGCGTGTTGAAGAAATGGCGTTTGAATCCGATTCGTCTGAAACGACTCTAACCCCGATATATATTTCCGTAAATTATACCAGTTCAGGTTAGAATAAGAAAAAACTTCCAGTCTATCATATATCTAGAACTCACCGATGTTCAGCTAGCTATAGCTAAAGGTAAAAATTGTCTGTCATTCACAAATCATAGTCCGTATCATTGTGGATATTTTGAGTATTTGTACGGGTCAGCAATGTAAGCTGTACGGAGTAAGTCGCCTGAAACGGCTCTGGCTAGACATATAATGTTTATTTCTTACATAACTTTAGTTTTAAAATAGCGGGTAATTTTTCCAGTTACAAATGTTTGAAAAGATAAAGTTCAGTGAGATATGGTTATCGGTACATTATATCTGTGACGATTATGGAATATCTCCTGGTTAATGGTCAAGAAATTGAGTGTTTGTACATGTAAGGATGGGAAACCACTTTTTTGCGTAGTCAGCAACGCGTTTTTGATGGCGTATGTTCTCTCCAACTACTAATGAAAATTATGATCGATAAGAAAACCCACCATATTAATAGCTGTATATAGAATCAATACAAAACACGCCATGTTGGTGCGAATGGAAATCACTTCTTGCAAACACGAGAGTCTCGCTGAAGTTAATTAA